AAAAAAAAGAGAAAGAAAAAGAAAGAAAGAAAGAAAACTGGTGTCTTACTATATACGGATATCCCTTAACATCATCCATGAATTTTCACCAAATTATGCCAGGATAAGTTAAGTTTTGAAACAGTTTCATGGTTAGGTTAATAGAAAAGCATACAACAGCAATCTGCCTAAGGGAAGTGATGCCTTTCCAGAGCACGTTCCAAGAGAAAATTTCTTGTATTCACATTACACAAGTGGAAAACCTGTAAAACCAATAATGCAGCCCGTCTGTTTGACTGGAATCGAACTCCCAGTATTCAGTGGTCTTAACTACTTGACAGCAAAAGTTTTATGAAAAAGCAACAAATCAATAGAATTTCACACATAAGGAATAGCTATCACTAATGAAACGAATACAAATTAAAATTTACATTTAGCTTACTTCCTAATGCACAAGCAATTGTTTTTAAACAATTTTAACGTACACCGTAAATGCAGGATAAAGGCTTTCTCCATTATTTTTAAACATATTTTGTCACAAATTTTTAAAATAATGAAAAATATTGAATATTTTTGACAAATTTTTGAAATCATAATGCTTTTCCCTTCAAAAATTTCTTGTTATTTTGGTGCAATGGCATTTTGAAGTAATCAGTCTTTACATCCTATACTATTGATGAACACTTCTCGTAACTTTATTTTCCAAATGCTTAAAAAAAAATTTTCAAATGCAATTAACCACTCGTATTGAACTTGCAAATGCTATTGCAAATTCTGGTGAATGGGTTGGCTGCATAGAAAATTTCATGTTTTCCCTTGTGAATGTGAGCTAGATTTTCCTAAAACATCCTCTATGAAGGCATTCTTTTCATATTTGAATGTTATAAATAAGTGGATAACTTTTAACTTTTATGAAAGATGTATATTATCATCCCTTCTTGGTTCAAAAGCAAAGCAGTAGAGGATTTTCCATTTTATGTGCAAAAGGGTGATCTATGAAACAGCCCCAGAATCTTTCAAAATTATTCAAATTGCTTAGTTATAATTCTGCATTTATTTAGTCAGGAGAATGCATGCTTGCTTTACAGGCAGGCACAAATGTGCAACAAGAAAACCTCAGATTAACTTACCCCTGATGTTAAATTTCCAAACGCTCATGCAAATTAGGATTTTGAGAAAGTGAAGCAGGAAAAACCAGAAATCAGCAGTAAAGTGGAATGTGGGAGAACAATTTCCATAATCATGCAACATTAGAAATAAATAAGAATTAGCCACAAATGGCATTTCATTGCCATTTTAGTTACTTTTAACTCAAGAGATACCCTATTCTATAGAAGTTGGACAAAAATATGGAAACACCAAAATATAAACTTATTGCTGTGACTAGTACAGTGTAAGAGGACTCTTGGTATTCAAAACAGCTTTGTCTTAAAATGGATAAATAGAGATCTTCTATGCTTTGCAAGGGAATCTTATACCAATCTTCCTGGAAAATGCTGGTAAGTTCAGTTAACAATGATGACAGTGGATAGTGGTCAAGCAGATTTCTCTCCAAAATAGCCTACAAAAGCTCAATAGTATTAATATCAGGTAATGTGGTGACCATGATAGATATGAAAGTTCTCCCTCATGCTCAGAAAACCAGTCCTGGGCAATGTGAGCTGAATGAACAGGAGCTATGTCAGCTTGGAATACAAGCATCACTGTTAGCGAACAAAATTTGTACCATGAGACATGATCAGCTAAATAAAATGGTCACATAATCCTAGGCAGTAATGTGACTTTGCACAGTAATGATGGGTCCCATGGAATACCACAATATGGCTGCCCCTACCATGACTGAACCCCTACCATGTTTCATTCTTAGCAGCAAACAGTCTTTATCATATACTTGGGACAGTGTTTGCAAGATGGAAGCTTGTCCAAAAGTCAGAAACAGTGTAAAGCAAAACTCGTTGAACAACTGACAATTTTCCATTGCTCTACAGTCCAGATTTTATGACTTTGACACCACTTTCTCTTCTTACAGGCATTTGGATCACTGATGAGTGGCTTTTGAATCACAGCTCAATACTAAACATACTATTACTATACTATGAAGCTCCCTTCGTATTGTTTTGATGCTCACAGGGTTTGCAAGTGCGACATTCAGTTCAGCAGTAACTTTTGCAGCTGTAGTTAATCTTATTTTTCATCACAATCCTCTTCAACTATAGTCTGTCATGATCACTCAACACCCATTTTCATCCACGCTCTGATTTAGCAGATGCGGTTTTTCCAGTTTTCCTGCATGAGTGAAAAATTGTAGATACTGTGCCTCTTGAAACACCAAACACTTCAGCTGTCTTGGTTACTGAAGCAATCACCATACAAGCCCCAATAATCTGTCCCCTTACGAATTAATTTTGCTTTGACATGATGCTCTCACAACTGCACAAAACATTGTCTCAATAATGAATGGCACTTGCAACATATTGAGGATGTTGTACAGGTGGCGTTAGTGAGCAAGAACATTAGCTTTCGCAAGAATAAACATTGCAGTTCAAACATGCATTTTATCAGCTTGTCCATATTTTCATTCACCAATAGCTTTTGTGAGAATAAACATTGCAGTTCAATCATGCATTTTATCAGTTTTTCAATATTTTGTCCAATCCCTGTAGAAGTATGGCAAAAAACTTTTATCTATTATAGAAGACATTAATTGCACTAAGAATCTAGTTAATCCAAAGAATCATGAATGTTTATGTCGCTGGTGACATCAGTTAGAGTATGAAACTTCAAATTTGTAACACAAAATAGCAGAGAATATTACTTCCTTGTTAAACAGACAACCAAACTTAGTTGTCAATTACCTAATTCTTAACCAAAAAATTTCAAATGTCTCCAAAGGCTTATGCACTTTAACTGGGAAGTAGTTTGAGGATTTCTCTCTCATGGATTAGGCTGAAAAACTAAAGTGCTTTTTTTTTTTTTTTTTTTTTTTTTTTTTTTTTTTTTTAATTTTAATTTTAATAATCCTAGTCAGATACACATAATTTTAACAACTTCTAGCATGGCCAAATCTCCATGTTATAGTATTCTGTTAAAAAAAAAGGGCCGATAAGATAAAGCTTTGAGTCATTCAATTATAGTAAAGCAATTTACATGCTTATTTATTTATTAAAAAAATATGATTATTATTTTTTTTTCCCCAAAGCTGTGCTTATTAACCACTGCTCAGCTAAATTTCAGCCATTCAAAAAAAAAACTGTCTATTTTGTATTACAGAATTTGACAGAAGAAATCATTTTGAGATCAATTATATATGAAAAATAGTCAAAAATTATATATATAAAAGTGAGAGAGAGCTAAAAATTGCAGTTATACCTGTAGCGTTAGCTTTTTGCATAAATAGATATGAGCAATAATCTTACTTTAGGTAAATTATTCCTGTAATGTTGACTTTTTTTACACATGCAGATGGTAGTAGTAACTTATTTTACACAGCTTTACTTTCTATTAATTTTTAACAACTTAACATTTTAGCTCAGTGTAGTATATTCAAAATCTCAGTTTTCAAACCTGGCTTTTTTTTTTTTTTTTTTTTTCCCTATCTTAGTTTTTGCCTTGTTTCTCTTTGAGCACCTTGATTGCCCTTCGAGGAACTGATTTTTTTTTCTTTTCACCAGGAGAGAAATGGTGATTTTTCAGAGTCGATTCGTTTTTCTTTTCAACAGGGATAAGTTTTAAGAAACGGTGAATTGATAGTTTTTTCTACAATACCTTTCAACTAGCTGATGGAAAAAAAACATTATGTTAATTTCATTTGCTATCATACATTGTCAAAATTTTCAGTGTGAATGGAGATGTAAGCTTTCTAACACAATATCATCATTACTTACAAGATCATCATCAAAATGTACCCACAGAATTGTACAATTTTTAAGTTATTTTGGGCAATTCTAGTTTCTTCGATACTCATGTGAATGTTTGGAGAGCCAAGAAATGGAAATCTCGATGGAAAGCAGTGAAGGATTTTTTATATCAAACTCATAGAATGTTTAAACAACTTCCAAGCTAATTTCATTATTTGAAGATCCATAAAAATCCATACAGCTTCAAATTTCGCATAGTACATTTTCATAGACACTGATGTCTGAACCCTCACTGGTCAGTGCTTTTGCTTTCTGAATCGTCCAATTCGCTTTTTCTATTTCTAATTTCAGTTGATTAAAACATGTAAATTATAATAATATAACTTAAAAACTATTTTATATGCTTTTTATAATAAGATTATAAAAATTTAATAATCTGAAATAAGACTTAACTATGCAAATCATTTAGCAAATATAACACGATGTATTAAAAAAAAGGTGCTTTTTACTAGGAATTCAAAAGAAACAAAAAAACTTATTGACTTGTCCTTACATCCAGGTGACGCCACTTATAAATAGAAAAACTAAAATAAAATAAATAAAATGGGATATTCAAAAACTAAAAATTTGGATATGAGATACACACCCATACCACATTGGATCAAATCACATTGTAAAATATGTACTATCCATCAGCTATATCATATCTGGGGGAAAACTGTTTAGCAGTTAAAGTATAGCTAAACATTTTTTTTTTTTCCTTCTATTTCCATATTATGATTGGTTGAATTATTATTACAGCCACCAAAATTTAATTCAAAATTTGAATATGACAATAACTTCTCAATGAACTTTCATTCAATAGATAAATTATAAATATTTAAATAATTTTAAATTATAGTATTCCTGAGCTTGTCCTAATACTTCAGAACAGGCTTCACTTCTCCATGAATTACATTTTATAACTTGACAAAAGCACGACATGAAATCATTTTCATGACCTGACAAAAGCATCTGCAAGTAATTTGAATGCAATGTACATCATTAATTCTTGGGCTCATCACTTTAAATTTCAACGAGAATTTGAATACTCAGTTATTTTATTCACAAAATTTCCATTATTTATGCAATAAAAACTATGTATAGAGCCATACAAAATGTGCAAAGAGATTAAAATTAAAGCCTTTATTAAACAAAATCATTTAATATTCAGTTTCCAAATTCTAAAACTTTGAGGTCAATTTCAGTTATACAAGACGTCTTTTGAAACAGCAATTATAAATTGTTTAACATGTAAAAAAATAACAATTACTACAAAAATTTGACAAAGTCACGGTAAATTTTAAAATGTCTGGTAAACTTCTAGTATAGCTAACAAATTTCACAATAGTGCAACAAGATACACAACATTCAGGTACTGAAAATATATGGCAGCTTATTAAGTTCTACTACTATATAGAATGGTCCATAATTAGTCCACACGAGCATCCATGATTTGTGCTTTTAAATTTTTTTATGCAATAAAAACTTGTGTATAGAGCCATACAAAGTGTGCAAAGAGATTAAAGCCTTTATTAAACAAAATCATTTAATATTCAGTTTCCAAATTCTAAAACTTTGAAGTCAATTTCAACTATATACAAGAAGTCTTTTAAAACAGCAATTATAAATTTTTCAAACAATAACAGATAAAAAATAACAATTACTACAAAAATTTGACAATGTCCCAGTAAATTTAAAAATTTTTGGTAAACTTCTAGTATAGCTAACAAATTTCACAATAATGCAACTAGATATACCACATTCAGGTACTGCAAATATATGGCAACTTGTTAAGTTCTACTACTATATAGAATGGTCCATAACTAGTCCACACGAGCATAAACAATTCCAACCCTAGATGGAATATAAATCTGAAAAAGAAAAAAAAAAAACAATGCAATATAAAAACTTATAAAAACTAGAATATTAATTTATGGTTAACCCAGTAGCCGCTAGTGTTCACGCAACGGTCAAAATAAATGCATATATAAAAGTAACTACCTAAGATATTTTACCAGATGATGATTTTGTGTAGGGAATATTATGAAGATTATTTCTGTAAAAAAATATTTGCCTTCAGCAATCATTTTGTTTATAATAATTAATCTCATACTTTAAGCAAAATTTTCGACCGGGTATTTTTACTGAAAATATTTAATGAAAGAATTGCCGTCTTTATGAGTGATCTATTTTTAGTCAAGGTCACCGTTTATCAGAACATTATATCAGTCAGATGTTTATATTTGTGTTGGGAAGGAATGGAAAACATGTGTTGCGTTGACACAATGTCAGCAGGAGTTAGCAGGAAACGGGTAGTCAATCTCCTTTTTCACTCATTCCTTTCGATGTTCTGATTCATGTTCTGGTTGTTTAAGAATGCCTAGAACGAGGTATCTTGCATTAGAAGAAGCCCTTCAAAGATTTTTTGATGAAGAAACAGATGATGATAATGTTAATAATGACCAGAAGGAAACTGATATTGTTGTTGTTCCCCCAGAAATTGCAGAGTCTAGGGATGAAGAAGAAATGACTGGCAATGTTTTAAATAATGATAATGATATTTTACCAAATGATACTGCTGGAGAAGTTGAAATTCAAGTAAGAAGTAAGTTTCCGCCTTCTAAAAGCAGTTATAGTCATACTAAAATGTTTAAAAAGCAGAAGACTGAGATCTTGAAGTTGATAAAAAAGAAACTGTTAGTTATGTCTCAGGAAGAACATGAAGAAAGAGACAGAAAAGAAATTATAAAAGACAAAACAGAAGGTAAAACTAGTGCACAGATTTTCGATTTTCTTTTTGGTTTAGACATTTACTCTCTTCTCGTTGAACAGACAAATATATATGCTCAGCAAAAAAAAAAAAAAAAAAAAAAGCCCAGAATTTATTGCATCTGAAGCCTATATGAGAAGATTTACTGGAATATTATTGCTTACAGGATATCATTCTTTACCTCGAGAAAAAATGTATTGGTCTTTTGATAAGGACATTTCTGTTCCTGTTGTACGAGAATTGATATCACGTTTGCAGTACAGGAATATGAAGCAGAATTTGCATTTGACAATAGTCAAATTGACAATACTAATAAATTATATGAGGTGAGACCGTATCTAAACTTACTAAATATCACCACTTTTTACTGCTGGAAATATAAAATCTCTTTTAGATTCCAGACGCGAGAATGCATTACTCCTTTTGCAAACTCCTCTTGATAGTGAAGAATTAGCCAGAAAAAAAAAAAAAAAAAAAAACAAAAAAAAAAAAAAAAAAAAAAAAAAAAAAACAAAATAAAAAAAAAAAAACAGCAACAGGAAGACCTAATAAATTCAGCATTCAAAAACCATCGTATGGAGATGGTAGACATTTTATCGTAAAGTCCGTTGATAACAAAAGACTTTGTTGTAAAGAGTACCATAGCCAGACTGTTTGTAGATGCAAAGTATGTAATGTAGCTTAACATCATGATTGTAATCAATCTTTTCATGCTTGAATCTTTCAAATGAAATAATCTGTATTTGTAAAAGAAATACAATATATATTTTAATATTAAATTAATTACAAGTAAAGTTATTTGTAGATTTATAAAACGTTATACAGCTAAAAAGTAATCCTGAGCTCCACTCAAAAGAAACATCACACGAGTACAATCCTACTCACTAAACATCCGTAGTCTTATTCCCCTGACGTTGCGCGAACGCAACACTCGCTTTTTCCCCAGGTAAGAGCATTTTTTTTATTTTAAATGTAAATTTATGTTATAAATGCTTAATTTAATATTTGTTATTATTTTCATGAGAAAAGAAACATTCCTTGTAGTTTTGGCGGTTAATGGGTTAAGTAATACATAAATAGATGGTATACATTTTTAAAAGTATACTGTAAAATTTCAAATCTTCATCTATACTTTAAAAGAAAAAATATTTTTATTAATATGAAAAACAAAATACTTTTAATAATATAAAATATAAAACATACTTCAACAAAATTAAATTGTGGAATATTTTATTTTCTTAAACTGAGAGCCCATTTTTGTTTTAACTAAAAAAATTTTTCATTTACCCTAACACTAAAACTAAATATGCAACACTGATTTTATATGTTCCTATAAAATATAATGAAGACATTTCTTATTTGAAAAAAAAAAATTGGACACACTTATCAAGTATAATTTGCTCCTGTATTTTATTTGTAATATTAAAAACTCATTAAGCGAAATATTTTTTTCATAAGAGTCAATGTAAAATACAATAATGAATACCATTAAAAAAAACCCTCAAACAATTTTATAACAACAATTTATTATTCATAATAAATTCTTTTTTACAAGAAAGTTGTCTAAAGTTGTTTTTGTCATTGCTTCCAAATTTGGTGAAAATAAGCATTAAAACTACTATTATTACTATTGCATTATTAAGGTGATCCTTCTCAAGGTATGATGCAGTAATTTCCAATGCTTTCAGCATTTCCCTTATTTCACTGGAACATTCTTACTTTGCTGAGGCTTTTATCTCTTCCTCCCCAAATAAAATCTCTTCCACAACTTTATCTGGACAAAGCTTTTTCGATGCAGAAATAATGGTTCTCTCGGTGCACCCTCCCATGCTTTGTTGAGCACCTATATGTAAGTGCATTTATTATTATATGTAGGTGCATTTGTTGAGCACCTATATGTAGATGTATTTTTTTAGTTTAGTGTTTAGTATCTTTTTTGAGCACCTATTGTTTACATTTCTCGTATTAGAATGGCGCCGAAATGGGTGATGTAGTTTCGATTTTAAATATCTTTAATAAATTCAATGACTCTCGGTCTATTTAAACTAAACTGAATACATTTAATAATAAAACATTATATGTAAACATTTAGTAATAATTCAGCAGTACAGATAAGCTTTAAAATAGGAATTACAACGTTACAGGCCAGCTACGCTTTAAGCCTACGTATTCTATGAACGACAAAACTCAAAAGCGTGTTGCCAACGCAAGGCAACGAAAAGGTGGAAATTAATTCGATAGGCGTGGAAGTGAACACCTATGGTAGGCAACTATATGTGAAAATAGTCTTTTCCAAACTCTCAGAGAGTGTGATTGGTTCCGCCAGTTACCACAAAAAATGCTCAAAGAGAATATTAGTGTAGAGCTTTTCAAAATGATCTGCTGGTGCAAGGGCGGCAGTAAAAGATTAGTGTTGGAAGGTAGGAAATGGATCTTGAAAAATTTTAATTCTTCAAGGTTTAAATTCTTCTAGGCCTGAGGATGTGCAGAAATGCATCCATAACAAACAAGGAATGGAGTGACAAAGTCATCTCAAGCAGAATTTTTTTAACAGGTGGACCAAACATGGGCAACTTAATTAATCCAATCTGTAAAAAGAACATGCATCACTTAAGCCTTGTTATTGGACCTCCACGTGATATTTAACCTGCTTTTCTGGACTTTACATTTCTTAAAAGCTCATAGATTGTTGAAATGGCTAATGAGCAGTAGTTTAATTGCCAAATTCATACTTGCATTTGCACAAAACAATAATGTAAGGCATTGGCTTGTGGCCTGGCATGCCTTATCCTTGTTGTATAGTAAGTTCACTTTAGCTTATTTTTAAAACAGAGACCCGCATCTTAACAATTATACACTGCTGCAGCAGATAACACTCAAAATTCACAAGCTTCTTGAATATGCCAATGAAGTTTTCGGCTGCCTTTATGCCTGATCTTGCTACTTTTAAGTGTCTCGCAATGCTGTAGATGCCTATTCTTCTCTTACACTTTTCAAACCACCCATAGCTTGTCTTAAGTGTTTCTTTTTTATCCATTGATGACCCTGGCATCTTCTTCATAAAGTTGGCAAAAATTATTATGTCCTCTTAGTTTTCCCTTCCTACAAATTATGTTTTTGTTATCAGTGTCACCTTGCATTTGCTTCTAGTTAATATCCATATCAGAAACTATCCTTTAACTTCATCAAAAATACGCTGCTGGCCATTAAAATTGCAAGATCCAGAAAGGATGATCTGATCAACGTCAAAATCACATCAAAAGAAGAAGAGGTTGGGATATGCAAATAATTAGAATTTCAGTGTATTTAGATGACGCAATATGGAGAAATGACATCTGAAGCACTTCATAAAAGAAAAAATGTGTAGTGGATTTCTCATTCAGAAAGTGCTTCGTGAGATCAAAGTTGGCTCAGAATATTGTGTTATGCCTTGAATAAGAAGAAGAATGCTTACCAGCAAGTGTCTGAATTCGATAGAGGCAGGATCGTTGCCTATCGAGTGTGTGGATTATCATTATGTGATATCGCCTGTCACACTGATCGACATCCAACCACTGTCATGCGAATAGGGAAATAATGGATTGCTGAGGGTCATATAGAATGGCATGCAGGGTCTCAACACCCTCCCATGATTAACACCCAAGAAGACAGACATATTGTGAGGTCAGCCCTGCATAACCATACAACCATATCATCGACCATTAGTCAGGAAATGGGCATGTTTGTAGTATGCCCGGTATCAGCTTGTACAGGATGTCGCTGTTCACAGCAGCATGGATAATCAGCAAGGCGACCATTACTTCAGCTTCCCTTGACAATGCAGCAGAGAGAGACGGCGACTCTGGTCACTGAATAACAAAGTTAGATACAGGTATCGCACAATATCATCTTTTCATGAGTCCTGGTTCTGCATATAGTATTCTAATGGCCGTATAATTGCCTGGAGGCTCCAAGGAGACCGCACTTCGCCTCCTTACATTTGATCTTGGCTTAGGGGCCCTGCAGCTGGTGTGATGGTTTGAGCAGCCATTAGGTACATGACATGCATATCTCTACTTCGAATTGGCTATAATTTGAATGCAGATTGGTACATTTCTGATA